GTGTCCCTTGGAATTTAAAGGTTTTCACCCTCTCTACCTGTCTCACAGATGTCTGCTGTGTGTATGCTGCTTTATCCTTCTTTTCACATAAAAAGATCAAGAGTTGTCGGTCTTATCTGCACTTAGGAAGAGATTATTTTATTATTATTAATAATAATAATAATAATAATAATAATAATACATTTTATTTGAGGGCGCCTTTCAGAAACCCAAGGTCACCTTACAAAAAACACAATTAATAAAAGGAACAGTAGTCATAAAATACATAAAATAAGTTAAAATTACAAAACAGAGCATGACAACAGATAAAACCAGCATTAAAGCAAATAAGCCAGTTTAAACAGATGTGTTTTGCTGACACCAAGCCACCAGTCCTGCCATTTTGTTTTCTATATGCCATCAGTGATCAGCCTAATGATTGCGGTATCATCTGTGAACTTTATAATGCTGCTGTTTGATGAATAGACATGAACAAAATCATTGGTACCCTTCTGTTGAAGGAGGAAAAACTCACACTAATCACTGAAATAACGTGAAACTGACAAAATAAATAATCAGCAAAAATTGACATTACATTACATAAACACATAATAATTTCTTTCCCTCCCTCTCTGGCTGAACAAGACTGCTGCTTCTTGTACAAAGCTCCAGTGCTTACATTGACCGACTGAGGGGCAGCCACAGGAGAGAACAAACGCCACAGAAGGGATGCCTGTCAGTTGGTCTCATAGTCACAAACTACTGGAGTAATTTAGTTCAATTTGCCAACATAAAGGTAGGCAGACTGCTTCATTTTAGTGAAGGCATAATTAAAAATAATGGCATAATGTTGCCAGTTAACTGATAGATCTCAGTGCTTTATGCTGTCTTTCCTTTCTTAGGAGACTGAACTCAGTAAAAGGCAGATGGAAAGAAACGGTGATGACACAAACACTGCATCACCTGTCTCACCTCAAATGAGCTCAAGAACCGACTTTTGCAGGCTTTGCTTGTCTGCTTGGTCTTCAACGAGCACATTTGAAATTTCCCCACAGAATCTCACATCCTCCAGTCCCACCCACAGCAGTCCATGCTCTCCTGTGGTTAGCAGTCAAAACAAAACCTGCCAGACTGTCGAATCATCACTCATTCCATGCGATGCGTGTCATCAAGTGCAAACTCTTTTGAGAAAGACAGGAGACGCTCTGGTAGACCTGCTTCAGAGCGAGGGCCTGCCCTCATCTCTGCAGCCTCTCTTAGCAGCTGTGGACGACTCTCTGGAGCTGGGACGCTTGACAGCAGGCGATGTTTCCCAGTGGGCCAATGAACAGCGCAGGGACACGCGCAGGCTGGAAAAACACCTTCAAGATGTGCGCTGTACGGTGCAGCCTCTTAAAGACAGACTAGCAGCGGCAGAAGAGGAACAGAAAAGATTCAGGTCCCAGCTGGAAAGAGCACAAAAAGAGTTCAACCAAGAGAAGGAAAAGCTTCAAATAAATTCCGTCCAGCTTGAATTTTCGCTGCAGAAAGCACAGAGAGTCATTAAAGAAACAGAGAAAAGGCTACACGAGGACCAACAGCAACATAAGAGGGGTGAGTGAAATTGTGAATAAACATGATGAGAATTCACTGAGATCACTTTTCTACTTTCACATTTTTGAACACAGACACTATGTCCTTGGAAGAGATGAATTTCAAACTGAAGGAGGAAATAGCATTGCAGCAAAATACCTTAAAAGCACTGGGTAAGACTCGCACCTAAGATCAATCTACAACCTTTCTTTCATTTAAAAAAAAGAAAGTATGTTTTGCAGAACACACACAAAATAAATATTTATGCAGGCTAAGATTTTTTTTGTGTGTTAGAACATGAAAAGAAAGGACTGCAGGAGAGTCTGAATACCTTACAAATAGAGGAAGAGGCCTGTTCTAAACTGCAGCACAGGATCCAGCAGTTAGAGAGTCAGATCGCCGACATTCAGCTCCTGCTTGATAAGGAGAAAGCCAAGTACCAGAGTGCCTGCCGTCAGCAAGAGGTCAGCATCACAGCAAGCATCTGATTATTTGTTGTTTTCCACTGGGCACTGTGACAGACTCGCTTATGTGTGAGTCACACAGCAGTAATCAAATAGATTCATACAGGTGTTGTTTGGTTGTGAAATCCAGTCAATGCAGGCAAAGCAGAAGTCTTTGTTAGAGAGAGTCGACGCTCTCGACGAAGAGTGTGAAGAGCTGCAGAAGCAGCTGGGGGAGAGAGAGGAGAGGCAGATCGGCCTACAGAGTCGGCTGCAGCAGATGTCAGAGGAGAAGGAAGAACTGCGGGTTCAGCTCACTCAACAGCAGGTGGATCAGAGCTCTTAAATGCACTTTACCCATAGTAATACCCAAAGAAGACATGTTTTAACCAAGTAGTATATGCTCCTATATTTTTTCCCCATCAGGACCTGTGTTCGAAGCTCCAAAATGAGAAACAGACCCTACAAACACACACAGATGAGCTAAACAACTGCGTGGATGAGTTGAAGGAATATGTGCAAGCTTTGAGAGAGAGGGAGAGGCTGTTGGTGGCTTTCCCAGAGCTCAGCCCACTGGCTCAACCACAGAGTAGGCCGTTATGAACCACCTACTAACTAACATTACCTGTGTGTATGCAAATAAATGTGGCTTTGCACCTGTCGAGCACTAGTTGACTGCGGCTATTAATACTTCGGAAAGCACAGAGTGCTAGTTTGACAGACTTGGAATTATAAGATCACAAAAATGACCCAGTGCACTTACGGATGAAAGAGACAGTAAATCGGAAAAATCAGTGCACATTAAAGTATTACTCGTCTTCAATCTTGTCATTTTTAAGGTATATTTCTAATTTTATTCCATGTAAAAAGGTACAGGAAATGTGCTTCTGGATATGCAGCAGCAACTGCAAGCAAATAGCATTCGTATAAAGGTTTTGGAGCAGGAAAATTCCACCCTTCTTAGAAGTCTGGAGAAACTGGGAGAAAGAGCACAACATAATGTAAGCAGGGTAAGTCATTAGGTAGGATTCTTGTGATGCTACATAAATAGAAAACACGTGAATAGATGTATATGAATATGAATAAACAACTTCAAACAGGGTTTTGTGGTTGTTTTTTGCTGAACATTATATGTATGCATTTTTAACAGGAAGCCTCCACTCAGCAGACACCGACTGCTTCACTGCCCAGCACACCAACAGAAAAACGTCCAGCGTAAGTATTCTGCTCTTCAGATTAGTCTGAGTGATACTGTGCATCCATTGTTGCCTTCTTCTTTGCTCCACAGGCAGAGCAGTGATGCAGCAAGGCTGGGGTACGTTAATAGAGGAAAGGAAGCAGGAGGAGGAGAGAGTGGTGTGGAGTCAGAGGATCGTGTGTCCACCTCCCCCTCGTCCATACAAATCCACCTTCAAACACTCCACCTCGACACAGCGTGCACTGCTCCTAAAAGACCCGCAAAAGTACACAGCCCTTCTCAACTTTCTCACTCCCGGGCCTGGAATCAGAGGAAAAAATGAAACAGTGGAGGTGTGAGCAGAAGCTGCTTTTGCAAGCAATATACTTCGTTAAAAATTACTGGCAAAAACTACAAGTGGCTAATTTTCTTTCTACGTAAATGCTGTTTTTTTGAGTTTGTGTGATTACATATTGTCATTATGTACAGTTATGGCAGTTAATATTACAGTTAAGCTGGATTGCTCCATAATAAACACATTATTAATAAAGACTGTTTTTCACCGCTGTTAAAATAGGGCAGTTATGGCCCCTGCATATTAGGTTTCATAAAATATGATATGCTTTCTCAAACAAGCCTGGATGTATCTGAATGGACAGCCTTCCCTCCGGATTGATCACATGGTTCTAAGTAAATAGGTAAAGTACCTTGAACGTCACAGAGACAGATGTCAGTGTCATTGTTTGTGTGCTTGCTGACAAGGATGTGGGAGTTTCCAGGGAAACTCAAGTGCTTGCTGGTTTCACTGAATCCCTTCTGACCTTCAGGTCAGTCCCTGGAGTGTAAGCTTTCAGTAAAATTGAATTGAATAAACAATCGTGTTAGTATAAACACTGGCCTTTTACCAGTTTTACCTGAATGGACACATGACCTGTCATTTCAGTCACTTCACAGACAGCATGTGACCTGAAGGTTAATCCCTAATTGGCTTAACTATAGCTGTGTAATCAAGTATATAATTTAAGGTAATTTTAAGCTCTTTCAACCAGTGCCATAGATGTCACTGAAAGTTATCTTTAAAGCTATGCTTGACTAAAGATTTCTTTCTTATGAAGAAAGATATTTTGTCATTCTAATGAGCAGTTTACTATGAATAAATATAAACTATTGTTTATTTAGCTAGTATATACATATGTAAAAAACAACAACTTAAATGTGCCTCTATGATCTAATGGAAAATTTGTGCTTCACCTCATTTAACCTCAGTGTACTGTTGGTGTGTAGCTGTGACTTTCTTGAATAAAGAATGAGTTTGTAGTTTTGAAAACAAACTAAATGTGAATTGTGTTTAATGTCACGATGCAGTCTGTCTTCATTATCAGGCTGTTGCCCACATGACTGCAGGAACTGAGCTCCCTATGGCTGAACAGCCAAAGATTATATCAACACGATGGCAATAAAGGAGCTGCTATTATTTATTGATGCTACTACGAACCCCGTTCATGCTGTATTGATCCCTCTGCAAAGGTTTTAACTTTCTTTCAGAAAATCAGTTTCAAATTATTTCCACAACAATTTTGGCAACAATAATGGAATCGCTCAAGTGATTTCTTCTCTGCTTTCATGTTGATTTAGGAAAACCTGCAGGTAGACTCAATGAGTCTGAAAGAGTGCTTACCTCCGAGCAAATTATTGAAGAGATGAGTGCATGACAGCTGAGAGCAGACAGAGTCACTGCTGAAATCTCAATTGATAATGAAGCCAGAGTGGAGAACAATTGAGACCAACATTAATTTCTGATTTTCAAGGACATGGGTTATTTAATTTAAGGAATTTGAAATTTCTCTGTGTTTGGTAAGACAGTCCACCATTCAGGGAAAAGTTCGGTAAACACAGTTGGCTTGGGCTGATTGCCACAGGCAGACTCAGGTTATTGTTGGTTCCATGAGTGACGACTTCCCGGGGCTGAATTAACAATAGACCTTGGCTGTCATTGAGAATCTAGTGATTGGGTCTCTTGAGATTCAAAGTGAGCATCCAGGAACTAATATGGGAAGCTCAAAGTCCTAAACAGAAAGGTGGCTCAAGTTAAGTATAACCTAAAATAATCCAAATGTCAAATTTATGAAAAACATGGTGAAAATATTGCAGCAATAAAATTTGTGGATGCACTGCATTTTCAAAAA